TTTCGATATTGTGCCTAAAATAAGTTGAATTAGAATTAAGTATAAATAAAGTTAATGTCAATTATATTTTAACTAAAAAATTATTAAATCAATTACATTTCTCACTTTAAAACTATTTATGATATCTTGATCACAAGGTTAGAGATGTATTGTGGTGTTTGGGGTGAGGGATTGGATAGTAATGTTAGTCAGGTAGATGGTTTCATAAAGAGCGTGTGTCAGAGCATTGTCCACAAGAAGGATAATTTTCTGATTTTGTTTTCTCATTTTTGTATCGAGTTTTTTATGTAATCATTCCAAATTGAAACCTGTATCCAACTTTTTTGGTTCCAATAGTATTCAACCGGAAGCATTTTTTTATTAATATTCTTGATAACCCTAGGATTTTCATACTTGTGTATAAACAAAAGCATCAACTTTTCACTTCCCGTTGCATTGCATGTGAGTAAGATCATTACACAATCCTTTGATTGTTTCTTTTCTGATGTTTGTTCATTAGATATCGTTTGATATGGTTTTATCTTCCAAAACAATCCTCAATTAAATATATCTTCAGGACTATATTCTTTTAATATTTGCCGGAAATTCTCTCTCATTGTTTCGAGATCTTTGAGCGATGCACTTGCAGCTTCCCCATATATAATGTACTGTTTAAGGTTATGTCATTTTTTAAAGTTATCCACCCTATCACTAGACCCTTTAAACTTATCTTCCTTTAATAAAAAAGCAAAAATCAAGACTTTTGTTGAAAGAATATCGTCAGTAATAATAAGGCTAGCTTTGAGTACGTTATCTACCTATATTACTAACGCTTCTTCAACAAGAGAGAATGGAGTTTTCTTATCATGTTTCAAATTGGCTTGGTATGAATTGGTATCCACAGAAAGCCAACGGTCTTTCTTCTTTAAAATGTCACTTACCATGCCTTTACTAACATCATATTCATTAGCCAAGTCTTTTTGTTTTAAAAAAGGTGATGATGATTTTTTCAAACAAAGTTCTTTTTTTTGTGCAGCTGTAAGAGTCTTTTTTTTTTAAATGTTCATCTTGTTTGTTAGTAGTTTGATTAAGTTGTTTTTTTGAGTTTACATTTGGCATTATTAATATTATGCAAAGAAAAAATACACGTAAAAAATAAAATATGTAAAAAAAAATGAAACACAAGATAACACGTAACGTGAAAATTTATTCATTTTTTAAATTCATTTAAAAACTACATAATTTTATATACATAAATCTAGTAAAATTCATTTTAAGCAAAACTTCGTTGTATCAAAAAAAAATTCGTTATAGAGAAAATTCGTTATAAAAAGAGTCATTTTATATATAAATTTTTCTGACTTTAATTCATTAAACGTAGTACAAATTTTTAATTACTAAATTCGGTATAGTAAGGGTTTTTTTATATTTAAAAATCTGTCTGACACTGAAAATCCGTTATATTATAAAATTCGTTATATCAAAATTCATTGTAAAAATAGTTGACTGTAGTTGAAAATAATGTAGTTGCTTATAAATGGTTGTATCTATTATAGAATTTCTTACAGAAAATATGATCTGAAAATTTAAGTTTATAAGTAAATTTTTTTTCACAAAATAATTGATAAGGTCTAGATTTATAATAATTCTAACTATTCTATTATATATAGGATTCTGCAAAAATCTGATTCGATCTAAATCTGATCTGATCTGAACCTTCAGATTCAAATCGGATTTATCGAATTTGAATCAATCAAATTTGAATTAGATTCAAACTAAATCTGATTCGTCAAATTCGAATCAGATTTATAAAATTCAGATCAAATTTGAATCAAATTTATAAAATTCGAATTGAATCTGTCGAATTTGAATTTGAGTCTGATCTGAAATCTAATCTATTGTATTTATGATTGTGTTGTATTACATTTTATTCTTTACTTTTATTTATAATAAAAGCAAGTTAAATAATGATCTTTAAAAATTTTTATTTTCCATTTTTTTTTTAATTTTCAACAATACATTAAAAAAAATTTTAAATAACAATTTTTAAATAATTTTTTTTTTAAATTAAAAAAAAATTACCTGTTTTCGACTTCACTTTATCTTACAGTTTTTTGCCTTCATCTTTTCTGACTCCTTCCTGTTTTTTTTTCTTTGCCTTTTTGTCTTTTCTCCCCTATTCGTTTTCCTCTTCGTTGTCTCTTTCATTTTTCTCTTCATTTTTCCCTTCGTCTTTTCCTTCATTTTTCTTTTCATTTTCCCTTTTGTTTTATCTTTATTTTCCTTTTTGTATCCTTTTTTATTTTCTTCCCTTCGTCTTTTCCCTTCGTCTTCTTTTTGTTGTGGAGAAAAAGTATTATAGGAATGAATGGAAAAAGGTTGGATTGGCTAGCATTTATAATAGAAGCAGAATATTTTAATTCCTTACTGTCATCTTTTTTCTTTTTCTTTTAAGATATTTGAGTTGTAATTCCAAAGAAAAAAATTAGGTAAGTTTATTCAAATTTTTTTTAATTTAAATAAATAAAAGAATATACTTACCTTTTTTTTTTATTTTTCCTTTCTTCTTTTCTTTTATCTGTTATTTTTTCCTGTTCCTTCGTCATGTTTCATTATTTTCTTCATTGTCATCTTATTTTCTTTCGTTTATTCCTTCTCTTTTGCTATTATATTTTTAGGACGGTTTTTCTTTTTTGTTTTCATTTCATTTATTTCTTCGTTTTTCTTTTTCCTTTTTTTAGGATGGTTGTTTCTTAATTAATTCCAAGCAAAAGGGTTTCTCTTATAAAAATATACATTTGGTAAATTTTTTTAATAATTTTTATTTTAAAAAAAAATAATTTACTAACCTTTTTTCTTTCTTTTTTTATTGCCTTTTTCTTTTTGTCTTCTTTTTCATCACTCTTTTTCATCTTCCCTTTCATCACCTTTCCCTTCCCTTTCATTATTTTCCTTTCATTATCTTTTTCTTGCCTTGGTCATCTAATTCTTCCCTTTTATCTTTCCTTCATTTTCCTTTTATTTCATTTTTGTCTTTTTTTTTAGAAAGATTGTTTCTTAATTAATTTTAAGCATAAGAGTATTTTTTATAAAAAAAAATTATTGTGTAAGTTTTTTTAATATTTTTTTTTTAATTTAATTAATTTACTAACATTTTTTTCTTTTTCTTCTTTCATTAATTATCTTCATTTTTTTTTGTCTTCCTTCATCACTCCTTTTCATTTTTCCCTTAATTACTCCTTTTTATTTTGCTTTTCGTTTATTGCCTTCCCTTTCCGTTATTTCCTTCTTGCCTTCGTCATCTAATTCTTCTCTTTGTCTTGTCCTTCATTGTTGTCTTACTTGTTTTCTTTCATTTTCCTTTCGTTTATTCTTTCATTACTTCATTTTTTCTTTTTCTTTTTTTTAAGATAGTTGTTTCTTAATTAATTCCAAGCAAGAGGGTTTCTTTTATAAAAAAAATTATTTGGTAAGTTTTTTTTAATATTTTTTTTTAATTTAATTTAAAAAAAATAATTTACTAACCTTTTTTTCTTTCATTGATTATTTCCTTCATCACCAATTTCTTTTTTGTCTCTCTTTTATCACTCCTTTTCATCTTGCCTTTCATTACTCCCTTTTATCTTCCTTTCATCGCCTTTCTTTTCATTACCTAATTCTTTCTTTCTTTTTTGTCATCTAATTCTTCCCTTTCATTGCCTTTCCTTTGTCACCTTCCCTTTCGTCATCTAATTCTTCCCTTTTGTCACCTTTTTCTTCGACTTCTTGTCGCCTACCCTTTGTTGTCTAATTCTTCCTTTTTATTGCCTTCCCTTTCATTATCTAATTCTTCCCTTTCATCACCTTTCACTTCGTCATCTAATTCTTCCATTTGTCACCTTCCCTTTCATCATCTAATTCTTCCCTTACATCACCTTTCCCTTCATCATCTAATTCTTTCCCTTTGTCTTCCCTTCATTGTTATCTTACTTTCCTTCTCTTTCCCTTCGTCTTCCTTTCGTTTATTTCTTAGTTCCTTCATTTTATTAAATTTTAATTAAATTAAAATAAATAAATAAGATTTATTTCAATCTATTTCGTTTAGAAAATAAAAAGAAAAAAAAAATAATTTTAATATTAATAATCATTACTTAGCAGTGTGTAAAATCTATGTGCACAATGTGCACATTAATTTTTTGTGTACACATATAGGAGCTGATCTATTAAAAGTGGGTTATGAGACATAGTAAATCATATGATCTGTACCTCAATTTTAATAGAATACTACCCATATTATATAACATAAAATATGCACAAGTTATTACTAAAAATAGATAAATTATATATAAAAAAGGTAATTTTACATAAGAAAATGTTATGTTTTTCTTATTTTAGTAATAATTAATCAATTTGTGCACATAAATTTTAACTTAGATTTTATACACTGTTACTTAGTAAGTTTTATTTATCACAATTTAATATAATTTGATTTAAAATTTTATTTAATTATTATTTTTAATTTTTTTTAGTTTAAATTATGGAATCTGTTGTTATTGTTGATGATAACCATAATGATGATTATCAAGGTTCAGAAATTGAGATTATTTCACCAAAATCAAATTTTTCTCAAAAATTAATTAAAAACAAGACAAGTTAAGTATAGTTGCATTTCACAAAAGATTTTAATTTTAAAACAAATATAAAGACTGTTTGTAATATTTGTCATAAAGTATATACAGTAAATGTTCTAATAGCAGTACTTCTAATTTATCAAAACATTTGAAGAATCATTCTATACAAACAGGAGAAAATCAAAAACAAGGTTTAAGTATTGCAGAGATGTTTGGTAATAAAAAAGTAAATTTTTAATTTTAATTTTTTTTTTTTTTTATTATACATTTATTTACTATAATTTATTAATAATAAATTTATTATTTAGTGGATATATAATGATAATGAAATAGTCACAAAACTTATTTATTGGATTGTAATAAATTACTATTATTAAAGAATTTGGTTTTATTAGTCTTATATCTTCAATTTGTCTTAATATAAAAATTCGTTCTGCTGATACAATTAAAAGAAATATAATAAATGCTTATGAAATAAATAGAGATAAAGTATAAATTTTTTTCATTTACTTTAGATATTTGGACTTCTCCTTCTACAAAATCCTTTTTAGTTTTAACTGCACATTTTATTAATAATGAATGGGAATTACAACATACTCTTATAGATTTTGTTCAAATATTTAGTAAACATTCTGATGATAATATTCAAAATACATTTGTTTTGATTTTAAATGATTTATCAATTAAAAATAAGATAAATTATTATTATTATTATTTTAATTTAATTAATAAAATAATTTTTTAACATTTAATTATTTAATAGTTTTTGGTATTACATCTGATTATGCTACAAATAATCTTAAATTTATTGAATTATTAAGTATTTGGAAAGGAAATAATTCAGTTTTATTTAATAAAGTTGATAATCGTTTTGGATGTTTTGCTCATATTATAAATTTAAGTGTTCAAGAATCTTTAAATTGTCTAAATAATGAATTATATCAGGTTGGTTTAATATTATAAGTAGTTTTTATTTTTATTATTTTAATATTAATTTAGTTAAGAGAACTTATAACAAAAATCCGTTCATTTTCTTTACATCGTGAAAAACTAAGTAATACATGTAAAAATAATCAAATTAAAGATTTAAAGCATATTTTAGATGTTTCTACTAGATGGAATTCAACATATGATATGATTTCAAGAGTATTACATTTAAAAATTGTAAGTTTTTTTTATGTAATTAATTATAATAATTAATTATTATTAATTTAATTTTATAATTAAATATTTAGGCTTTTGATTCTGTTACTCTTGCTTATAGGGATCTTAGAAATTATTTGCTTACAGAAAATCAATGGAATGGATTAGAAAAAATAAAAATATTTCTTGAAATATTTAAAAAAGTAACAATTATTATGTTTGGTTATACTTATCCTACTCTTTCTACTACAATACCTTTATATAATTTGCTTATTGATTATCTTGAAAATAATATTGATGAAAATGAATATAATAAAAATGAAGATTTTAATGATGATAATGATGAAAAATTGAAAAGATTAATATCAGAAGTAGCTATACTTGCTAAAATTAAATTATTAAAATATTATGTTAAAACAAATGATACTTATTTAATTACAACTATATTAGATCCAAGATTAAAATTACAATATTATCATAATCATCAATAGGAGGATGATTTAATTAATAATATTAAACAAAAATTAGTATAATTAACAATTATTTCTATTTTTTTTTTATTTTTTATAAAAAAATTTTAATTTTTTAATTTTTTAATTTTTTAGTTTTTTAAAAGTTTATAATACAAATTATAAAATTACCATATCTGCTACAGATAATTCTAAAAAAAAGAAGAAAAATCAATTATACCAAGAGTATTTAAACGATATCATGTAGAATATGATGATGATTTTAATTTATATATTAATTCCCCTACTGCAAATGATAATATAAATCCACTTGAATGGTGAAAAATTAATGAAACACAATATCCAGGCCTTGCTAAAATAGCACGAGATTATTTAGCAATACCATATACAAGTATTCCATCTGAACAATATTTTTCTATAAGTAAAAATTTGATTACTGATAATAGAAATAGGTTGGCAGGAAAAATGATTAGAGCATCAATATGCTTAAAATCATGGTAGACAAGTATTTTAAAAGAATAGTTTTAATTTTATTATGTATTATTATTTATGCTTTTATTTTGTTATTTTTTTTAAAAGATAAATAAAATCTATTTTTATTTTTTCTTTAAAAATGTTACCTCATAAATAAACGTTATCTACGGACCAACACCTGATACGTTCGATCGAAATTCTAAAAAAAATAAAATTAAAAAAAAAGAAAAAAAAAGATAAAAAAAAACAAAAAAAAAATGAATATTACTTATATTTAGCGATCGAAAATTTAAAATTAATAAAAAAAACACCCGATGTGATCAATCGACATTCTAATTGAAAATCAATAAAAATTAAAAATTAAAAACAAAAAAAAGAAGAAAAAATATTAATTAAAAAACATGCGATCAAAAACTAAAAAAAAAAAAAAAATTAAAAAAAATTAAAAAAAACAATACCACCCGATGCAATCGAAACTAAAAAAAGAAAAATTTAAATAAAAATTTAAAAAAACCTACCTAAAATAATCGAAACAATATAATCGAAAACTAAAAAAAAAGAAAAATTAAAAATAATTTTAAAAAACAATACCACTCAATGCTAGAAATACCGAAATCAGCACCCGATGTGATCGAAACTAAAAAAAAAGAAAAATTGTAAAAAAATTTAAAAAAAACCTACCTAAAATGATCGAAACTACAAATTAAAAAAAATTAAATAAAACCTACCTAAACCAAAAAAAAATGCTGAAACCAGAAATCCAATACGATCGAAAACCAAAAAAAAAGAAAAATTAAAAAAATTTTAAAAAACAATATCACCTGATGCTTGAAATACTGAAACCAGCACCCGATGCGATCGAAACTAAAAAAAGAAAAATTTAAATAAAAATTTAAAAAAACCTACCTAAAATAATCGAAACAATATAATCGAAAACTAAAAAAAAAGAAAAATTAAAAATAATTTTAAAAAACAATACCACTCAATGCTAGAAATACCGAAATCAGCACCCGATGTGATCGAAACTAAAAAAAAAGAAAAATTGTAAAAAAATTTAAAAAAAACCTACCTAAAATGATCGAAACTACAAATTAAAAAAAATTAAATAAAACCTACCTAAACCAAAAAAAAATGCTGAAACCAGAAATCCAATACGATCGAAAACCAAAAAAAAAGAAAAATTAAAAAAATTTTAAAAAACAATATCACCTGATGCTTGAAATACTGAAACCAGCACCCAATGCGATCGAAACTAAAAATAAAAGAAAATTTAAAAAATAAATTTAAAAAAAACCTACCTAAACCAATCAAAAATCTAAAAAAAAAAATTAAAAAAAATTAAAATACTACCTCGAAAATCTAAAAAAAAATTAAAAATTAAAAAAAATACTAAAATATAACATTGACCCGATGCTACAATATTTAAAAAAAATTAATAATTAAAATAATTAAAAAAAAGATAATTATAATATATAATTATATAAATTAAAGAAAATAAAACTTACCAACCCGCATTCATTTTTTGGATCAAAAAAATTGATCCTCAGATATTTATTAGATTCCTGGAAGAGGTAAGTTATAATAGAGGAATTTATTTATTTATAATAATACTATCCTGACACTTAATTTTTACCTTTGTAAAATGTTTCAAAATCAAACCTTTAGAGTCAGATCAAGGTAAACCTTAAGTTACTATTTTTTAATTTTTTTTTTTAAAAAAAAAAAATAACGCTATTAACTTACCTTTGTTGACCGATCTGGAATTTATAAAACTTGGAATCATGCATGGAGGTAAGTTCTAATTTAATAAATAATTTGTTGTTTTTTTTAAAAAAAAATTAAACACACCTTTGTAGAAAACAGTCTGGGTCAAATCGAATTCAATTCAAGATAAGTCGAATTGAATTTGAATCATATTGAGTTGAGTTGAGTCGAATCAGATTTGAATCAAATTTGATCCGATTCAATTCATGTGGAACCCTACTGATGATTATGTTGTTAACTTTACGCTTAACCGTCGAACTTAAGGTAACGATAACTTGATAACAGGGAGTAATACGTGTAATTAATCTAAGATAACTATGAAATAAGTCCTATCACGATCAACCTTTAAGTTTATCACTTGGTAAATGTTGTATCACGAATTTTAACTTTGTAACTTTATAACTTTATAA